TTTCCCTTTCCCTACTTTGCTTTCATGGGCAGGGAAAAACACCCCTCTGTCATCAGGCATTTGTGGGCAGATGTGAGGTGGGCCTTTGGGAACAGTATGATTGGGATTTTGAGTGTGTGTGGAGTTTTAATATTTTAAACATGGAAGAGGAAAAAGCCATTGCACTCTAGTTAATTATACCATCTTGAACGATCATCTGCACTTTAAGAACCTTAGGAAAACTCCTCCGACAGCGCTTAACAGCTACCACTCATGACATTGCCCTGGCAATTGTTAATTTTGTTGTTGATTGTTTATGGTGGAGAGTGGGAACGGAATAGATCTGTAAGATCTGAGTTTAACAAAGCAGGAGTGGAAAGTGGATGGAAGGTAGGACTATGGCAATCTGAAGCCACAACATATCATATAGTTAATAATGAATTGTTTGTTGATACTGTGGCCGTTCAATGCGTCATGGAGGAGGGAGAGGGTTCCGCTAACCGGGGAGCCCCCATAGAAGTCGTGGTGGGGAGGGGGAGATACGGGAAAGGGAGACCTTTAATTCGACCTAGGGAACGGGGGCGGGGAACAACGTTAGTAATTCCAAAGCGGTCTCCTGATATGACAAGTTGGTGTAACCAGGATGGCGGTCCCTCCGGATTGAAAGTGGTGCTGTTGAACGCCAGATCTGTCAACGGTAAAACAACTTTCATCCAGGATTTAATCCTGGATGAACGGGCAGATCTGGCGTGCATCACAGAGACCTGGTTGGACGAAGCGGGAGGTGTAAATTTAACCCAGCTTTGCCCACCAGGCTTCTCTGTGCAGCACCAGCCGAGATCCGGAGGGCGGGGAGGCGGAGTTGCAGTGGTCTACAGAGATTCCATTCTTCTGACCAGGGCCCCCATCCCGCAGTCAACAAATTTTGAATGCGTCCACCTGAGGGTGGGTGACCGGGACAGATTAGGGATTCTGTTAGTGTACCGTCCACCTCGCTGCACTACTGACTCCCTGACTGAGCTAGCGGGGGTGGTCTCGGACCTGGCGTTGGAGTCCCAACGGCTGCTTGTGCTGGGGGACTTCAATGTCCATGCCGAGGTCGCCCTATCGGGAGCGGCTCAGGACTTCATGTCTACCATGGCAACCATGGGGCTGTCCCAACAGGTATCTGGCCCCACCCACAGTGCTGGACATACATTGGACTTGGTTTTCTGTCAGGGATGGGAGGAAGGTGGCGGTGTTGAGGAGTTAACCATCTCTCCGTTGCTGTGGACCGACCACCACCTGGTCAGCTTTAGACTCACTGCACCCCCCAACCTCCGCAGAGGTGGAGGACCCATTAAATTGGTCCGCCCCAGGAGGCTTATGGATCCGGATGGATTCCTGATGGCTCTTGGGGAATTTCCCGCCACCTCGGTTGGTGATCCTGTTGATGCTCTGGTCGCTCTCTGGAATGGGGAGATGACTAGGGCAATAGACACGATCGCTCCAGAACGTCCCCTCTCAAGTAGCCGAGCTAAACCAGCTCCTTGGTTCACGAGGAGCTGGCAGCGTTGAAGCGAAAGAAGAGGGAACTAGAGAGCGTGTGGCGTTCGAATCCGAGCGAGCCAAATCGAACACGGTTTGTGTCCTTTTTAAGGGCATATGCCGCGGCAATAAAGGCCGCAAAGAAAACTTTCTTTGCGGCCACTATTGCGTCTGCAAAAAACCGTCCGGCTGAACTGTTCCGAGTTGTCAGAGGCTTATTAAAACCCTCCACTCAGGACGGGTGCCCTGAGGACTCGGCAGCTCGCTGTGAAGCTTTTGCTCGGTTCTTCGCAGACAAAGTCGCTTTGATCCGCTCTGGACTGGACACCATATTAACGGCAGTATCTGAGGATGTAACACGAGCATCTGCTTGTCCGGTTTTGATGGATTCATTTCAATTGGTTCAATCCGAGGATGTGGACAAGGTGCTTGGAGGAATGAGAGCTACCACATGCATCCTAGACCCCTGCCCATCCTGGCTTCTAAAGGAGGCCAGAGGGGGATTGGCCGAGTGGGTGAAGGTGGTGGTTAATGCCTCCCTTCGGGAGGGCAAAATTCCAGCCAGCTTAAAGCAAGCTGTGATAAAACCGCTGTTGAAGAAACCATCACTGGACCCCACTCAATTCGTCAACTATCGGCCTGTTTCCAATCTCCCCTTTTTGGGCAAAGTCATGGAACGTGTGGTGGCCTCACAACTCCAGGCATTCTTGGTAGACACGGATTATCTGGATCCGGCACAGTCTGGCTTTAGGCCGGGGCATGGTACTGAGACAGCCTTGGTCGCCTTAGTGGATGATCTGCGTCGGGAGCTCGACAGGGGGAGTGTGTCCCTGTTGGTGCTTCTCGACCTCTCAGCGGCCTTCGATACCGTCGACCACGGTATCCTTCTGGGACGCCTCGCGGGGATGGGTTTGGGAGGTACTGTTCTGCAGTGGCTCCACTCATTCCTCGAGGGTCGGTCTCAGAAGGTGTTACTGGGAGACTCCTGTTCAACCCCACAACCTTTGTCTTGTGGGGTTCCTCAGGGTTCAATACTGTCTCCCATGTTGTTTAACATCTACATGAAGCCGCTGGGCGAGATCATCCGGAGTTTCGGAGTGAGATGTCATCTGTACGCAGATGATGTCCAGCTCTGTCACTCCTTTCCACCTGCTACTAAGGAGGCTGTCGAGGTCCTGAACCGGTGCTTGGCCGCTGTGACGGTCTGGATGGGGGCGAACAAATTGAAATTGAATCCAGACAAGACAGAGGTACTCCTGGTTAGTCGTAAGACCGAACAGGGTATAGGATTACAGCCTGTGTTGGATGGGGTCGCACTCCCCCTGAAGACACAGGTTCGCAGTTTGGGTGTGATCCTGGACTCATCGCTGAGCCTGGAACCCCAGGTTTCGGCGGTGACCAGGGGAGCATTCGCACAATTAAAACTTGTGCGCCAACTGCGACCGTACCTTGGGAAGTCTGACTTGGCCACGGTAGTCCACGCTCTGGTTACATCCCGCCTTGATTACTGCAACGCTCTCTACGTGGGGTTGCCTTTGAAGACAGCCCGGAAGCTCCAACTAGTCCAACGGGCGGCAGCCATGGTACTAACAGGAGCGGGGCGCTGGGAGCACACAACTCCTCTGCTGCACCAGCTCCACTGGCTGCCGATATGCTACCGGGCTCAATTCAAAGTGCTGGTTTTGGCCTTTAAAGCCCTAAACGGTTCTGGCCCAACTTATCTATCCGAACGTATCTCAGCCTATCAGCCCACCAGGACCCTAAGATCTTCTGGAGAGTCCCTGCTCTCTATCCCACCGGCTTCCCAAGTGCGGCTGGTGGGAACGAGAGACAGGGCCTTTTCTGTGGTGGCCCCTCGGCTTTGGAACACCCTCCCTATAGAGATACGATCAGCCTCTTCGCTGATGGTGTTTCGGAAGAGATTAAAAACATGGTTGTGTAAACAAGCATTCGGTTAGTTTGTTACCACCGAATTTTATGGACTAAGGACTGGTTAATTATGGATGACGAATTCTGGACTGTGATTTTAGTGACGAGATACATGGTATTATTATTGGTGGCCCAATAATTTGTACTGTCTATGTGTTGTTGTTTTAAATTGTATATTGTTTTTAATTGTTGTAAACCGCAATGAGTCGCCGACTTAGGCTGAGATATTAGCGGTATACAAGTGTATTAAATTAATTAATTAATTAATTAATGATTAATGATTTAAATAACATATTTGATTGGTTTAATTTTTTTATATTTATATTTTAATGCTGTTGCACTGCTTTAATTTGCATTGTTTTATATTGTTAGCATCTGTGAGTCCCCCATCAGGAGAAAGGGAAGATAAAAATTAAGTAAATAAATAAACCAGATTATGCTGGATCAAAATTCTACAATTGTATTTAAAGGTGTTCCACTGATATGACATCGAATTCCCTGAGGAAGAAATTCAGCCATACAAAGTAAGTTCTGGATGCACTGTTTAATACAGATTATAGACAAGATACGTGATGTTTCAAGGCTAAGGACTAGGCTATATGCGTCCTCATCTGATTTATATGTGAATATCTCCCTTAGTTTCTACTCTATTTTAGAATTATATTGTTCACTAAACAACTGAATTGTATACTTTGTCTGATTCTCACTGAATGGCAGACAACCATGGTTAGAATTCTTTTAACCAATGTTGACTGTACTGAACTCCAATATGGAACCAGCGTATACTGGGTTAAGGTGAAGAGGCATACTGGGTTAATTGGAAAGAGAAATACACAATCTCATTACTCAAACTACCAGCTTCTAACCAAAGGTCATTATTTCAATGTACAAGATATTCTAAAAGAGTCATTTGGAAAAGGTACACAAAACATTTTGCACCTATCTCTTTTGAAATACTTCCCCAAACCATTCTTGTCAGGGCTTGATATAACTGAGTGCTGTCAGGCTGCTTGATATCATAAACTTGATAGCAAGGCCTTATTTAAGAATCAGTCGCCTGCATTTTTACCCCAAGCAAAGATGTTGCTTTTTGAAAGCTTTCAGATCCCTATCCATCTTCTTAAATGTCTGAAATAATTTCAAGGTGTTTACAGACAAGTTTATTATATAAGCCATATATTATCGTTAAATAGAAAAGTATTTCCATGCAATCTGATTCTGGGACTACAGATGGTGCAAGTGAAGTGTCATTCTGTTAAGACACATAAAATCCACGATTCAACTTTAATAGACCAATAAGTGCTATGGGTGATATCAACATCTCTACCCTAAAAATTCTTTTTTGCCTCTCTCAAAAATTAAGCAGAATTAAAGAGATGTATTAATTACAAATCATTCTAGAAGCAAATGTCTTTTTGGAGAAAAATATGCCTTTGCTATTAGATACATTTAAAGGACAAGCCAGTACAATAAATCTCAACAATGAATATCACTGTATTCAATGAAATTGACTCTTTGTAATGTGTTGTAATCTTTGTAATCAGGCTACAAAAATATGAACTTACATCTTTTCCCAAAACTCTGAGTTCAAATTGAGATTCCTTGAAGTGGACCTTTGTAATTCTAGGCCTAAAAGTTAGAAAAAGTTAAAAGCAACACAGATTAAATCACAGATATATTAGAAACCATCTAAGGAATGGAGCTGTTTCCTGAGAAAGACAGCCTATCATTACTTTAATAAATAAATTCTATGCCTTACTGAAAGAACTCTGATTAACCTAACTGTAAATAATATAACTCTGAAACAATAGCAGGCATTTACTGATGGAATAGAAGTGGAAAATGCTACTTGTCTACCCCTTTGCAGGTTTATCAAAATGCTTTTTCCTGAATGAAGCTGGATTAGGGATGGCTTGTAATACAATCTTGCAGGAATTACCTTAATCACAGACTGTTTGTCTTTGCTAGGCATTTATTAGAGCAAGCATGGGCAATTGTGTGTCATCATCCCCTCTTGTTTGCTAAAATATATGGGAGTTACAATACAACAGTGTCTACTTCCGCGTATTATACAACTGAAGACAATACTGTCTACTTCTGCATTAGAGAGGGAATTAAATGCATTAATTAGGTGAGCAAAACACTGAAATGATTGTTTCTAGATCAGTGGATCCCAACCTGTGGTCTGTGGACCACCAGTGGTCCGCAAGGACGAAAATAGGGTCTATGGCTTCACCATTACCACACCGTTGTCTCTAAACCATGTGATAATGAGCATGACTTGTCTCACAAAACCCTCTTATAGTCCCGAGGCAACGGGAGTGTCGGGAGGGGCAAGGTTAACTACTCACAAAAGATTACTATTCCCACATCAGCTCTTGATTATTAAATATTATTTTCTGTGGGCAAGAGATGGTGACTACTGGATGGCATATGTTCTGTATCACAAACTAGACCTGATATGGTCTATCCAATACAATTTTCTGAATCAGCACCCCAAATAACCAAACCAAATCTAAAGTTGACCAAAAACTGATTCATAACCCTTTTGGTACTAATGTTGGAAAGTGTCCCTGATCAAAGTGGTCCCTTTTCAAGTGATCATTGGTCGAAAAAAAAGGTTGGGAACTACTGTTCTAGACTGAGGTACAGCATCATGAAGCAATCTGAATAATGTAAATACTTTAGAAGCAGAGCAATGCGGATGAAACTTGAATTAATAAGGAATGCAACTTATACAAGTTGGATTTACACCCTTGCAACTCTTTCTCCCATGGTTGGATGAAGAGCAATGATATCATGCATGGGACCTCCAAAGGACCCCCAAACATCCTAGCAAATGTCTAACACTGTGCATCTAGCTATAGGAAAGTAACTGGATATTTGTCTGCAGTACCCCAGCTCCAAAAATTAGGAAATAGCTGGGGGGGGGGGTGTGAGATTCAGCCAAAAAAAAGAACAAGTTGAAGGTTGGACAGAAGATTATTGTAGCTACATGTTGTAGCCTCATTTTACAATGCTGGATTATGGCCATTATTTGCTAAAACAATTTTTTATTTGCTTACTTACCAAAAATATTTTCCTACTTGCTTTTTGTTCTTGTACACAACCACTCCTACAGGAGTTAATCCTAGAAAATATTCAGATTTATTTTCACCCTGGAAAATAATGTTAAAACTACATGAGAGAATGCTCCTCTTTCTCTTTAATCTTTGTTTTTTTCTTCCTTAAATGCTAGTGCCCCAGTATATACAGAGTGATTGAAGAACATTTCCTAAGCTGTTCAGCTACCATGGTGGTCAACCAAAAGCATATCATGCATTGTGATACCTCAATTATGTTTTTTTTTAAAATATCATGTAATTTTTTTAAAATCAAGATGATTATTAAACGTACTGCAACTTGGAACTTCTAATTATCTTCTATTTCCTGTAATTGTGAACATTTTAAGGGCCTTACTCAGCTTCTGGGTATTACTTTAATATTTCCTGTCTGAACATATCCTTTGTAACAGACTCCCTTTATCTTGTAATGACACTTAGAATAAATCCTTCAGATTTGTAATCCATAGTATTCTTCCAGCACAGTAATTGCTTTTTTATATGGAAATGCAACCACATTATTTCTAAGAAAATCTCCTTAATCCATGCTTCTCCTCAGCATGTATTCATGTCAATTTGAACTTTTCTTTAAATATTCTAAGGCTAGCACTGGATTATGAAATAGTGGGGTTACTGCTTTTTGACAGCAGTCATCCTTAACCTATTCAAGTGGACTGTTGAAGTTACCCAGGATCCAAAAAACTGCATAACCAGCCACATATATCCAAATGGGCTCAGCTACTATGCTCTATAGCAAATTGTGTTTGATATTGAAAAGAACTGCAACAGCAGTTTGCAGTTTGGATTTTGAGCCTGCTGTTGAAAAGAAACAAACCAACAGTCTCATTGGGTACATGACCCTAAAGCCAATTCTCTGTTCAAACAAAAGTAAATCTCTCAAATGAATAGAGTTTACATACATGTTGACTCATCATTCGGCAGCTGATTTAATGGGTCTATTCCACTTTTGAAAGCAATTACATTTAGGTCTTAATAATATCTTCTGTAAGACTAAAGTGCCTCTCAATAAAAAGAGGGACTTGAAATGCTCATCCTTAACTTGTACTCCTCGTTCTCAATAGCTGAATGAGTATTCTACATTGACTACCCCATATCAGTTTCCCAGACTTAACATCCTCCAGATGTCTGGGGATGTATTGGTAGCCTCCAGGTGTCGTGACTTTCATTATGAGAAGTTCCTTCACTCCACCCAAGGTTAACTGCATGACACCCCAGACTTTAAAACATTTCCTTTCAGATTACAGTTCCCATAATCCCTCAGATAGTATAGCAATTGGTCTGGTGAAGACACTTCCTGCTTTCATATAAGACCACTTCTAGTGTAGTCTCTAATGGTGCATCATACATAGTTATCAATGTCCACTGTAGGAAGCAGGGGGCTAATCCTCCTCAAAACATGAATAGTACTCATGTCTTGCTCTGAGTACACGAAAAGACACAGGAAGCCCTGGATATGCCAGCAACAATGGTCACACGGCTGGCACAGTTAATATTCAAAATCCAGGAGCTTAAAGTTGCAAACGTTAAGCTTGAATGCCCACAACAATTAAGGGATTGGGACAACAGTCAGGGAAGCCACAAACATTTATGTCTTTATTTTCAGACAACATTACTCACATAGACAGGATGAAGATCAACTCCATACATTTCAAGCGTCTTTGCCACACCTAGGTAATTCAGTTCTGCCTCAGCAGGAACTTGACCCCTGTTTAATATAACAATACTCCATGTGTTTATTCAGTACAAGGGAATTCCTTTGAAAATCACATTCATGTGGTTTGCTGACAAAGGTGAGGGATATTGACTTACCTCTGATTCCCATATTTTAAATGCTTTTCAATTGCTTTAAGTTAGCACTGTTTTATAATACAATAGTTTATCTAAACTGTTTTCTACTGTTTTGATTTGAAAGTGGCATACAGCCAACAACATTTGAATGAATGGGAGAAGAGTACTGCCTTATGTAATAGGAAACAATATTTTTTCTGATGTTTAATTCTAACATTTACCATGTAAGCTGCTTCTTCTGCTTCTACTTGTTGTTGTGGTTATTGTGGTTGTTGTTATTTCTTACCTGCCACTCCAATACTTAAGTCATGGTAAAACACCAGGTTTTATCTAAAGGAATACTGCACTTTGTATCTTAATGATTACAACTCCAATATATTCCATTTATAAGCAGTTTCTATAAAAAAAAGTTTTGTTTATATTCTTGCAAAAAGGTTTGTTGGCTATGACGAGTTTTATCAATTTCAATGAATGGCTGTGCAGAATTTTACTCTTTGTTTTGTCATTAACATAGACCGCAAAATACTTTGCAACTTTCTAAAAATTTCTAAATTTGACAGTGAAAAATCATCAAAATTATTATGATTTCTGATCAGAAATCTCCTTCTACAGAGTCATCTACTTCTTTGAAAAAGGGCTTACCCTTAGAGACATCTAACTGAAAACCAAACAGACCAAGTAGATCATTACACTCCACAGCAGGCCTGCAGTACTTCCCCTTGGCATCAAATTCAATTGTTTAATGCACATAGGCTTCTTAAATAGGCCCTCTCATAGTATCACACACACACACACACAGCATCACTTTTTGATGTGCAGTATATCTTAAATAATAGCAAACACCCTTATTCTTACAGATCAGGGCTATATCCACTCAGTTTCAAGAACGGCTCATTTCACCAGCTCCTTCCTACATTTAATGCATTCAAATTCCAAAAGACAATAGTGCCAGGAAATCACTGAGCTTTAGAAAGCCGAGCTCATTTTATTCCCTACTTTCTGGGAGAAGAAGGAGGCTTACAATGCAATCTCAGAGTAAAGCCATAGTTCTATTACCTTCTGAAACAGAAATGTACAGCTTGCAGCCCCACCACCTTCTTATATACTGCATGGAAAACATCTGAATCCACAGAGCTACTCTTTGTTCTATCTAGCAAACATCAATGTCAGTGGAGCTTGTTTGGAAATGATAGCACAGTAAGACAGGGAGGAAGAGTTAATGTGTCCATAATGCATACTTGTGTGGGAAAAGGCATGTGTGTAGAATACATATGAGGATATGAACATGGGTTGGTAACTCTAACTTCTCCCAAATACAAAAATGGCTTAGAAGTGAAAGGAATGAGCACCCTAGCTACAAAATAAGTCTTCCATTATTGTCATGTAAATTTTTATAAATGTGGTTGTTACCACAACAATACATCACATTTTCATTTCCATCCTTTATCTCACCAGATGCTTTCCCTTTTTGTTCCATTCTTACAAATAAATTGATAAAATGTGTCTTTGCCACATTACATCAGTCATCAATCCTGATTGAGAGTAATCTCCCCAGCGTTTCTACAAACACTGATATTCAGTACATTTGGCTCCACTCCTTTGGGTTACACAATCCATAACTTATTCACATGACTCATTTTTCAAATATGCCTTTCTTCTCTCACCTGTATAAAGAAATGCAAAAGTCTGCCAAACTATGCTGACGACTGAATTGTTTTATCTTGAATATTCTAAGCACCACTAAAGTTCCGTAAAGTCTGCTCTCAATACTGAAACCTTTTGCTTCATTTCTATCTCCCTTTGTTGTGATAAGTATTATCTGTCTATTTCAATGGAGCTAGATGATCTTCCTGTGTCTTTTTACATTTATCCATACATGCTATGTAATAACAGTGTCAATGGAAGCTGCAGATACTATAAAATATGCCAATAGAATACAATGGATATATTGGACATAAAAAAGTGCCAGGATCATATTGAACTGAGTTATGTTTATGTTTCATTTCAGAGAGAGAGAAAAACAAACTCTACATAAAGGCAGATTTGAAACAGCAAGCAGTAGTTATTCCCCTTTCACAAACATGAAATTTATTTATTTATTTATTTACTATATTTGTATACCGCCCCTCTCAGCCCGCAGGCGACTTAGGGCAGTTAACAAAGGCAACAATTCAATGTCCAACAACAGCATAAAACATTTAGAAATGTTGACATATAATATAAAATCATAACAAGATCAATTAAAAACATAAATCATATGTCTCTTAATTAAAAACATTGTCCAAAATCATCATCCAATCGTTCCATATTCCTATGTCTGTTACACTGCCTTGTCAAGCACTTGCTCAAACAGAAATGCATTTTCTGTGTAATTTCCTATGCAACATTAGTTAATAAAAACAGGTTCTTACATGAGTGTTTTATGTATCCGTTCTATGGAATCTTCCAGTTCTTCCTTCTGATCTGGAACAAACCGGTATTCTGAAACATAACCTGCAGTGTGCTTGTATGGGTCATAGTCTCCAAGCTCAGCTACACAAGTACACGTAGAAAAAAAGGTTTCAATATTTGTTCTATTTATTTACAGTATTTATATTCCGCCCTCCATATTCCCTGCCAAAGAGTTTTGTTCGTAAACTTCTTCTTTGATCAAACTGTCGGCATTTTTCTGGCATTTCCTTATGGGTGCCTTAAATACCTCCAAGATTTAAAATGGTACCTATTTATCTACTCCCATTTGTTTTTGAACTACTAGGTAGGCAGAGCTGGAATAAAAGCCAGGAGCTCACCCCAACCCGGGCTTTGAACTATCAACATTTTGGTTGGCAAGATTTTACTGTAGCTGAAAGTTAACCTGCTGTGCCGAAGTATGGCCCTCTATGAAAGTTACATAAGTCATATGAAAACAAAGACAAGGAGGGCAACTTGATAATGTAGATTTTAGTCCACAACAGAAAATGCCACCACAGATCTTTTAGTCTTTAAAGGTCACTCAAGATTCATTGTGTGTATACATGTGTATACACCTTTACCATAACAGACTAACACTGATATCCCTGTACAAAGAATTTTGCCAAATAGAAACATTTTTCTGGCCACCAGATTAAATTCACTACAATTCTAGTTTCTAAATATAATTAAATCTGCCCTATATTTGCTGCAAATATGCAATTCCTATGTAATCCAATTACTGTAACTTCAAGAATTCCACTCCTATAAAACATTCCAAGCCAACTTGATTTTTAAGGGGAGATAAATGTTGTGTCCATTCAACAGTAATATAGACACAGGCCCTCTCTGAGATGGTGCACTTCCTGTGAAATTATCTTCGTTCTGTACATCAGGCTTCAACACTGGGATATTTAATATCCATATGCTCCAACATATTACACAGATGAAAATAGGGACACCCATAGTCAAGTAACATCCAGGTTGTATTCAAAGCAGCACATTTCATTAATAAGATACAATATACAAGCTAAGACATCCTGCAGTAGTTTGCTTTTGCGTGAGCCTATGGGAAGCGTAAGATTCTGCCCTTTCTTCTCCCCCCCCCCCACATTTGAACTCAAGTTTATAGCAACTGAACTAAGAGAAGACAAAGAATGCATCTACACTGTGGAATTAATAAAGTTTGACATCACTTTAACTGTCATGGCTCAATACTACAGAAAATGGGAGTTGTACTTTTAGAAGGCTAGGTGTCTCATTAAACTACCATACCCATGATTAAATGGTATGGAGCTATGGCAGTTAAAGTGGTATCAAACTGCACCCAAAAAGGGAAAGTAGGAGGAAAAGAGAGTACCTGGTACATTTTAAAAGTAGCTGAAAATGTGGGATATCAGAGGATTAACTGAGAATGTCTTTGGCAAATTGAGATAGTTGGAGAGAGTGATATGTTCAGAACTTTCTAATAAGTTGAATTACGATGTTTTTGTCAGATTGATTTGTTATTTTATAATGGGATTACAAATTTACTCAGACATTTTTGCGAATGAAAAGCAATTCTAATAAATAAGCGAATGACCTAGCATTAATGAGAAAAATACAGTATGAGTTGACCTGAGCCACATACACTGTATTGCATAGGATCCCAGCTGGGCAGCAACGTTGATGGGACAGGGCAAGCGCCCTTGCAGGACATCTTGCTTCACCTGTAAAAAATACTGATACCTAAAAAAAGAGAGAGGACATAAAATTAACCTGTAAAGATTATAAAGAGTCTACTTCACTATTGCATCTTTACTTAATAGAAATCACTTTCAGATTAATTTCCAAAGGAACTAGCTGGCAACTGAATATTGTTTCATTTGAATCTTCATTGTAAATGCAAGGGGTTTCTCTTTGTGGATTAAGAGTAAACAGAAAAAGAAAACACACAGTTCACCTGCCCACTGGTAGTCCCCGGTGGCAAAATGGGTTAAACCCTTGTGCTTACAGGATCACTGACCAATAGGTCAGTGGTTTGAATCTGGGGAGAACGGGTTGAGCTCCCTCTGTCATCTGCAGTTCCCTATGTGGAAACATGAGAGAAGCCTCCCACAGGATCGTAACACATCCAGGCGTCCTCTGAGCAATGTCTTTGCAGACAGCCAATTCTCTCACACCAGAAGCGACTTGCAGTTTCTTAAGTCGTTCCTGACATGGGGAAAAAATTGCCCACTATATAAATGGTTTCAGTATAGATTGCAGCCTGTAAATTTACTGCTGTGAATTTACGATGAAATTAAGTGGTGAAGGTTGACATTGCTATCAGTAGCCTTAGGATACATCTAGTGATCTAAATCAAGTTGACACCAACTTAATTATTGTTGTTTCCCTGAATTAATCCTGGGAGTCTTCTTGTTTCCCTGAATTAATCCTAGGAGTCTTCTATAATGTTTGAATCTTTCAAGAATGCTTTCTTTTTTGAAATCCACTTTTCTTAGAACAACTCAGCTGTAGGACCAGAATATTTATGAACACACTTCTTTCTTTTAAATCTATCATAAATGAAAATCAATTAAAACAAACCTGCTGGTTATCTGATCTATTCAGTTCCACCATCCTATGTGGCTAGATAAAACTACAGCAAGAAGAAAAGGGGCTTATTTCCATTTAGGACTCTTCTCTTCTGCTAGAGCAGGGCTACTTCATAATATGTGGAAATTATCCTCTTTACACAAAGCTGTATACTGTAAGCATAGTGGATTAGGTACACATTCCATATTTAATCAAAACATTTTTTTTTTGCATTACTAGATTACGTAATCTATATTGTGCACCCAGCACATCAGACCAGAATGCTGATTGAGTTTGCTTGAAAGGGTGAATGTTGCAAACTACGGTATATAAGACCACTTAACATGCAGAACAATCAGTATCTGACTGTCATGCCTTCATGAATCTCAGGTAACAGATTAAAATCACTAATTAATACAGCATGAGGTACAAATTTTCATTTTAAAGCTCTGTTGTGTTTTGTCTCAACAGATCCCTTGAAAGTAAATTAGTCCCACCCATCCCCCCAAAAAAACCCTCTCAGTAGATTAGAATAATTACAGAAGTTATGTGAGAACAATAAATGGTCTTTACAATCAGATATGCTATAGTAAAATTGAATTCTCAAAATGATTCAGACAAATAATTGCTTTGGTCACATTCTACTCAAACTTAACTTTCGATTTAACCCAGCTCATTAACACCGTTGAAAGTTATTGAGATTTTCCAGAAACGTTTTTCAGAAGTTTTAAACACGGTGATCAGACTCCCCCCAAGTTGTCCCGTCCGCCCCCCTTCTCTCATTGAAAAACATCAATGTGCATACTACTTTGATAATGGCTGCTCCACCATATTACTAAAGATTAAATCTGATTAATACTCTACCTGGTGATTTCTTCCTTTAGTCTGCATGGATCTTCTGCATAAAATTTAACACCAAAGTACAGAGTATAAGGTGGACCAGCTATTAGAAATAAAAAAGCTAATTAATTTTGAAGTACACAAGCAAATCATTGAAGTCCTGTACACATTTACAGCGTTTTCCATAAGTATCCATCCTTGTTTAATGTTTCAACTTTTTGTTGTGTTACTACATGGAATTAAGATGGATTTATTGGCATCATCACTCATCACCAAAAAGGTGCAAGATATCTTTATTGTGGAACAAAAACTAGGTCAACAAAAACAAATGTGCATTCTCAAAAACATGGAAAAGTCAAATAGAAGGGAATACAGGCAGTCCCCAGGTTACTCACAATGTTGGTCCTGTATTTTTGTTCTTAAGTTGAATTTGCATGTAAGTCAGAACAGGTACATTTTTTAAGTGTAGCTCCAGACAAATATATATACACACATGAGATTTGGGTAGCATAGGGGTGGGTTAACACCCTTTTGCTGTTTGGTTTGCTGTCTGTGCACTTCTTCGGCAGAGTTCACCCCACTTTCTATCCCTGTGATATTGATTTTGAACATTGTGGCTTGCTGTGGAAAAAAGGATTGGAGATAAGGCTTCAATGGAGGCACCTTTCCTCCATGAAAACTCTTTCAGGAGTAAATTTCCCTGCCTAGGGGGAAGATTTATCTTACTTCCTGTTGTTGCACCCAACTTTGTAACTATGTCATTTGTAAGTAGGATGTTTGTAACTAGAGGACTGCCTGAACTTCTAAAAGACACTGTAAGCCTTCACTTGAATATACAGATGGCTAAAATGAAGGAGAAGGATGGGAGTGTGCATATAAACACAATTTCTTTGATAATCCCAATATAAGTAGACTTTGTGTTTGAGCTTAAAGCTTTGCAATTGCATTCAACTAACTACAATATGAAGCTTGTATGAGAAGAAATCAATTTTATCAAGTTTCCTGCTTGCAGAACTTTATAACTGCAATGACATGGGCACAAGCTATCCACTTTCCCTGTGTTAATGAATGCACAGAAAGGGTTATGATGCCGGAGTCAAGTCTAGGCAACATACTGGTACTAATTGGAGCCAATCCCACTGTTGATACTGTCCCAAAGCCATGAGATATTCTAGAATTTCCAGCGAGCTCTGGAGTATCCTATTACTCCGTCCAAACTGGGTCAAAGTCAGTTTAAATTTTAAAAAATCCACAATACTGACTGGAAGTCAGCAAACTTTATGGGGACAGGGAGCAGTGCATTAGAGGTGAGTCCAAATTTTCTTGCTTCTCAGGAATTTGCTGGGACAAAGAAATGGACTTTTCCATCAACCCTCTGCCCTTGCTGCACAGTCTCAAACCCTATGAGATCCTCTACCTACTGGGCGAATTACCCAGTACTGGGCGAATTACCCAAATTCTGCTTGCCACAGTTTCAAAGTGACATCTCACATTTCTGAAATAACTCCTTTTTAAAGGCAAGCTTAATATTAAAACATGAAATAAAATTCCAGTTTATATAAAGTACTATCATTTTAATACTTCAAAAGTTTTAGTACTGCCAACAGTTGGAGCACAGAAATATATTTGGGAATGGGCTAGAAAGAAAAGCAGAGGGAAAATTGAATAAATGCAAAATTTGGAATTTGCTATCTATAAGCCATACTTGTGGATCTTTGAGGGACTTTAAATCTATCAGATGTTCTGAAAATGTAATGTTTTCTAGGCTTCTCCATCACTAGACTGTTTTTTGAAGAATGAATTACATACATACTATTTATTAGTTCCTTGTGTTCTGTAAGGGTTTTTGCAGGATCCAGCCAAAACTGTGGGAATAACCATAAAAACCACTATTAAATTTCAATTCAGAGACACTATATTAATGTACTTGAAGAGCAAGGGAATTGCTTTGCTATGGTAAGAATAACCTTATATGAATTATTTTTAATTGCATTGGGTAATTTACTAATTTTTAAAAGTGGTTGCTCATTTGGGGATGATGGGAGATCTTCTACAACAAATCTGTAATTGTAATTGTATTTATGGGCTACAGCTAATTCAGAACCAAACTTAATTCAGGCATACTTCAGTTAACAAAGTCCCTGATAGTGAAGCTACCCATTCCATTGATGATTCATTTTAATTATATCTTGTGCTTTCCCCCCAAAAAATTGGGATTCAAGGCAGTATACAACCTATAGGTACAACACATATTCTGTATATACCCAAATACCCCACACACCATATGAAAGACTAACATTAAAATGTAATTCAAATTATCAACAACATGAAAATAATTTAAAAGATGGATCAAGAAGAATAAGAAAGGCACTATAACAAACAGTACAGTACACCACAAAACACTTTTTAAAAACAAGATGTACTAATGTTCGCGATAACAAAAAGGTAATGCTATTGCTTAGTTTTGTTGGAAATATAAACCTTCTCAAGCCTCCACTAGTTGTTTGTTATGTATATAATTGCTTGCTGTGCTGTATATATGTGAACTGATTTGCAATTTTACCTTAACTTTTGCAGTGTGAGGACCTACAGACCATGTGATCTGGTCTGGGCTTGTTCAGGGCTCAGGCTGCATTTTAGAAACAGAATGCCTTTAGAAGACTGCAGGAGCAGTACAGTTTAGACTTCAGTAAGATCAGTTCAGCTTAAAGATTTCAGTGGAAACTGATGTATGCTTTTAGAAGTGAGGTGAAACAGACTACTCTATTAGACTCTCAAAACAGAGATATGCTTTAGACTTTGGACTGATAAGATTCTAAGAATGATGCCTCGTGTTACCTACACAGAGAAACTACTTTTAACTGGATTGATAAGCAAAGTACCTGTATGCTGAATACATGAAATTTATGAGAAAAACAACTATGTTATTTTTTATTGAAAATTAAGCATAAAATAAAAAAGTAGATCTAGAGAAAGTACATTTAAAGTGGGAGAACATTCAATTCAAAGAAAAGTTAGAAAATTGATATGAAAAAGCATGGCACAAGAGGGGGAAAAACGAAAAAAGAGAAAAAAACCAACTCCCCCCCCCCCCCAATAGGTTTTACTATCAGTTTGCTTCCAGGTCCAATTTTGCCAAAAGTCTGTTTTTGTCTTGAAGTCTTTCGAGTCTATTTAGCGTTTTTTTCCCCCTCTGTCCTTTGAGTTTCTTTTAGCTCTCTTTTTATATAAATTCCTCTATATTCCTTTTTTAGAAAATCTCTAAATTTTCCCCAGTCTGTTTCCTGATGTTGTGTATTGTTTTGTGCAAGTTTTGGGGTGAGGAGGTCCATATTCATGATGTCCATCATTTCAGGATCCATTTTTCTATCGAGGGTATTTTTGGCATTTTCCAGGATTATTCTAGCTGCCGTTATTAGATAGAAGAAGATCTTATTTGTATTCTTATTTATTTCAAAATCTGTGATCCCAAGTAAAAAGTACCCAGGATTAAATTCGAATCTCAGTTAGAGGATTGTTTCTATTTTTTTGTAAATCTGATGCCAATAACTTATGACTTGTTTACATTTCCACCACATGTGGATAAAGTTTCCCTTATGTTTTTCACATTTCCAACATTTCTCATCTATTTTTCCCATATTGTATTTTGCCAATTTCTCTGGAGTAAGGTACCATCAATCAAATATCTTATAGCAATTCTCTTTGAGTTCTGTAGAGTATGTATATTTCAGTTTTTTCCTCCATATTTCTTCCCATTCCATCATGTTCATTCATCGACCTATTTCCCTTGCCCATTTTACCATTACCTCCTTGACTTGTTCTTCTTCAGTTTCCCATGATAGTATTTGTTGGTATATTCTTTTAATTAACTTCTCAATTTTTAAAGTCCTATCCCAAAAAATTCTTCTATTTCAGAGCCTTCCTTCTTATCTAACTAGAAACTTTCTTTAATTTGCCAAAACTGAAACCATGTGATGGATGGATCAATTAGTTTTATTTCTTCTTGCGTTTTTAATAACACTCCTTGCGTATTGGTTTTTAATAATTGTTTATATGTTAGCCAATTTCCTCTTGGTAGTTCCCTCATATGGTCTGCGTCATTAGGGGAAAACCATAACAGTGTTTTTGTATAGAATCTATTCTTGCATTTATTCCACGTCTTAATTAGGGCTGATCTGATAAAATGATTGTTAAATCTCTTCTCTGTTTTGGATTTTCTTTTCCATAGGTAGCTATGCCAGCCTTTCATTAAACCTTGTCCCTCTAGGGCTAGTATCTTCTTCTTTCTTAATAATACCCAGTCCATTATCAAGTCAGTGCCACGACATCATAATATAACTGGAGATCCAGCATTCCTAGACCTTCCCTTCTTTTGTCATCAGTTATGTTTTTAATTTTAATTTTGGTTTTCCCCCCACCCAGATGAATTTTTAATATTTTTCTGCCACTTTGTAAGTGTTACCTTTGTTCTCATTATCAGTAACATTTGAAATAAATAAAGGACTTCTGGTAAAATATTCATTTTCACCATCGCTATTCTTCCTAGCAGTGATAAATTAAGTGTCTCCCATCTTCTTAATTTGCCCTTTATTTCAAGCCATTTTTTCATAATTATTTTTTAATTGGTGTGCATTGCTGGGAGCAATTATTACCCCTAAGTATTTTACTTTTGTGGCTATGTTTATTCCTGTGTTTTTTTGTAATTCTTCTTTTTTCTTCTGGGGGATATTTTTAGTTGCTATCTGCGTTTTATCTTTGTTAATTCTAAATCCAGCTACCTCCCTGAAAGATTAAATTTCTTTTTGTTTATTTTTGTCTCTTGAGAGCATGATTTAAAGACAAATATATTTTAAGGGAGAGTAGATGTTTTGGGGCAACTAAACAGAACCCTTCTGAAATTCTGCTGTGTTTGTGTATGCTGGTGAATGCCATTTTCCCAACAGGATATGACTCTAACAAGTCATGCTTTTTACCAAGAGGTTATGGCATCATTTTTCAAAAAGTTGTGACTTCTAACAAGGTCATGTCTTTCCAAAGATCATAAAATCTCCAAAAAGTTCTGGAGATTTCCATTTCCCCAAAACTTTGCAAATAATTATGTGGCAAATCACTCATAAACACATTACAAAAATGGCAGCATTGACAAATCACCTGAATTCAAGAAAAATACATCACAGATAACACAGTAGAGAAATCAGAAGATAAAAATATTGATGTACATAATAAATTCTCATGTTCAAGACAGATTTTCAGCAACCTGCTCAAGACCCTCATACTAATAAGCATCCAAATTTTAAAGCATATGTAAATATTTCCTTTTCTTTTCAGCTATTTTAGTTTTTGTGTTGCATTACTAAATCTTTAAAAGGGATTGGATACGACAGAAAACATGAATAAACTTCACAAACATAACAACAAGCCTTAAGAAAATACAGCATTCATCTGCATTTCACCTTCAAAAAGGTATACCAATGTATAATATTTATGAGCGATAACTGGCCAAGAAAACAGTATAGTCCTATCAATAATTCCCTGCTGTAGCTTTAAAATGTCAGGAATATGTAAAACTGACATGTAACAGATACATCAAATACATAAACTCTAAACATGATAGTACAGAAAGGTGGGGAGATTCAGACCAATGTATAAATTCTTGTGTATCAAAAGCATACTGTCTAATAAGAATTTGTTATATTACTCATTACTCCAACCACAGTTAGAAAGTTAGTCATTAAGAAGCAGTGGTTGTTGTTATCCATTTTTCTATTAGAGAAAATAATCAGGCTCTGTGTATCCATGAATTATGTATCCACAGATTCAATCATTAATGACTTAAAAATTAAAAGAAATCCAAAAAGTCAGACTTTTTGGTTCCCAAGTGGCAATTCTGAGAAAAATGCAAAAGATGTTACAAAGTAATTCCTACAGCAGCCACCTATGTGACTCTTCCTTTGTCCCCTACCATTGCTTAGATTGGGTCAACAATTACCCACAATATTGAGCATTCCACTTTTTCGTGTCAGGGCAGCCAGTCAGTTATATTACATTTCTAACAGAACAAAGCAAATAAACAGAGAAAATACAAAATGTGTGAGTTTGATTAAATGTCCTTTGACCAGTATCTGGCCACTTGGTGTGCTTCTGGTGTTGCTGCATTCCACTGCATTCCACTGAAAAGTAGTGAATTTCAATTACAGCTGTCACAGAGGGGGAAAGTAACTTTGTTCTACCTCCTTGCTATAAAAAATTAACACACCCACAATGTTCCTGAAACAGTTGAGGCTCTCTCTGTTTTCACAATGACAACTGTATTTCAAAAATTAAATTGTAGTAAACAAAGTACAGTTATCTGAAAATAACTGACTGCAAGTTAATTTCCAATTTGAATCACAGAGAATATGTGTGATCACTGCAAAGTTGCTTATAATTAATTTCCATCACTAAATATGTTTTTATTCAAAGAATAAGACAAATCATACAGAATTGACTGTCTACCACCACCACCCCTTCTGTAACTTTCTACACCCTCAAAATCCTCTTAAAGTTTTCCTAACATTTTATTTGACATTGCTGGTGGAGGGGCTGCTCTAATGCAAAACTTTCTGATAGAAACAATTTAATCAGAGAATAAATCTGTTGGGCCCTGCCCACCAAGGCCTGTTTCACACTTTTAAAAATACTTGTGCTTTTATTTCAATTTTTCTGCTATCACACCATAACCAAGCAGAACTATTAGGGTTTTTTTCTGTTCTTCAAAGGTCTACTAATATGAAGAGAAAAGGCAATTTCTACACAACAGATTATCAGGGCAGGAAAAAGAATACCTGACAAAAGTATTTATTTCCATAGAAACATGACAGTTCAGCTTTGGGTGGTTTAAAGATTGACTTGTGGACAACATACAGGGCAATTTAAAATATGATTGGGAAAAGGGTCGCTTGCAGTATAATGTTTGCCACTAGAAAATTTGTCTGTCGTGTTTCTACTCACCGTCTGGTGACTTCTGTCACAATAACGCAGTCCAAAGTAATCTATCTCCACAAGGTTTAAATGCCGGAATACGTAGCCCAGGACAACCGACCCTTTCGTTGACTTCTGTGGGAAAGAATGTACAGAGTCCTTTAATACAAGTGCTCATTCTTTTGTAAACTGCATGGTGGCATTCATGCATTCAGCTAACTTTGACTACCAAAGGAGATTGTTTAATCAGAAACAGACTTACTGGTCTTTCACTAAAATCTAAATGATAAGGGAGAAAAAAACCTTCATGCTCACTCTAGTTGCTTTGTAGAAAATGTTGAGCAAATACACTTAGTTAAATAATCAACTTTTAATTAGGAAGGGAAAATTCAAACAACAGATTGGAAGCCGTGACTGATCTCTTGGACTGAATATTTTTCTGCACTGTTGACTCTGATATTATGCCCTCTTGTGTTTCACACCCACAAAGGAAGGCTGTGGGAGGTGGGGATGTCCCACATTCACATTTTGTAGTTGTGTAAAATTGCTTAAGATGGTTCACGCATCAACAACTTCATTTATATTTAATTGATAGCCTACCTTTCTCCCAGTACTAGAACTGGTGCAAAGTTGCAAAAAACAATTATATGAACACAATGATTATAATAAACACATTGCTAACAAGTTACACATGTAGCTGAGAGTGCAGATCTAATGTCTATTATGAGATCAGCTGTAAACTGGAATATTAACCATTACCATTCTGTAGATGGTTAAACAGCTTTGCTGCTTTGCTTTATAAAGTCTCCACTGAAAGAATGAAAAAATAATTTTAAAAAACACTATTTTTTCAACTAGAGAGAATAATTCTCTAGAAATATCCAGGTCCTCCAGCAATCACACTGGAGGACCTAGAGAATCCTATAAAAGTTGTTTTTAAGAATTTCTAGGTCCTCCAGCATGACTTTACAGATTACTAAAGAAATATAAAGGACCAACTATACAACGAGGGACAACTTTACCATAAGCACTGAAGCAACCAAAGATTCTGCGTTTAACAGCTCTACACCAAAAGCTGCTGTTCCAACTGCTACTCATGCCTTCTTCCCAGCATTCTTGTTCCCATTCCTTCTTTCTGTTCACCACAGCAGTCTCTATAGTGTACACTATCCTCAATTATGCGGAAGGAGGGAAGGCTGCCTTTCTTTCTCTGGTTCGGCCAAAAGAGGGATAAGGGGTTAGAGCATCTCACCTCTACCTCTCTTTGCGATTTTCAGTGACAAGAGGCAGGTTGCTCTCCTTGTTTTTCTCCCACTCTACGGCCATTTTTCCCAGGCCACATTTTCATTCTTTTTTATTTGCATTCCTTTTCTTATCTGTATTTACATAGACGCACACATTTTAAGATTAGCAATGAAATTTACACCATTGTAACCCCTGAAATAAACAGATCCTTTCCATCTCGTTAGCTTGACCTAGTCATGAGGTTACCTTATGTACAATGCTTTTTTACAGTACTTGGAAACTTGTTATTAGTTGTGTCCCTCTACTCTGGAAGTTAAACAAGTGGTTTTTTTTTTCCTCATATTTTCTTCTTTTTAAAATCTAGAGCACAGAGACAAATATGAGGAAAAAGGAGCTACTGTGTAGTATTCAGTGAGCCAAGAACATGAAAGAAAAGGAAATCAGTCAGGAATAAAACATATGGAAACTACCTTAAAGTTAACCCTCTCCAGGCACAAAGACCTTTCTGCTAAATTAACTCTTACATCATTTTCGCCAGATCTCAAGGCAATAATTAATACACAATAAATACTGATATGAAAATAAGAAATTAAATTGTACTTAAGAATTTAATCAATTAAATAATTACCAGATATATATCAAATTTATAAAAGTAGATATTAATGCAGGGGTCTTATATCAACTTGAACTATTTGTCCATATAGTCTTTACAGTTGCCGGACTGAATGCTGCAGCAGGTTTCTCTGTCTCCAATTATTGTGCAAAAGAGCGAATTTCAGCAGGTGCTACATTACATGTAATCAGGTAATACACAGGTAACAATTTTAAGGGTATTTCAGTATTCCCAGAACAGAGGCCTTTTCCGTCAATTGCTAAGCTATCTTGTTTTAACCAGAGACACCAAAGGCTGAACCAAAGCCTTTCTGCATTCTGTGTGTGTACTACTCCACTCAACTACCTCCTCTCCCTTAATCATGATTCAAAAATTTCCTCCCACTTCTAATAAAAGGTACTCAGTTCAAACAGAAAAGAAAAGACATTTGTGTATTTTACTTTTGTCTGTGATAGTGAAATAAATATTTTAGTTCAATATGGCTTGATACTTAAGTTAATTTCACTTAATATATTCTCAACACTATGAAAGAAAAAACCTTTCAAAACACTGCAGTTAGGACAAAATCTGTTGAATCTATGCAATACATCATTGCATAAATACTCTTCATTCAAGAACCACACAGTTAACATCTTATAGTATTTGAACTGATGCTCAGCAATTTTCATTTCCTTTGTAACATTATAACAGTATTTATGCAGTATTTATGCGATATTATGTCTTAAAACATTACATTAGTAAGCAGCTAGTCTGGCACATATCTGACATAGCAGGTTTGCACCGAAAAAGAAAACAAAAGAATGCTGAAGCATACTCTGCCTTGTGACAAACTGTTGTGGTTTGCATTATTAATAACGAAGCAGTAGACATATGACTCAATGAGATAAAGTTGAGTGTGGACAGTATTCCTCCCATGAATAATGCATGTCTCCAATGCACATCCCTTTTTAATAAAGCCAAATGACTAGAAGAGTAGTTTTATAATGTGTTGGAAGATTACATTCTGTGTCAGAATTAGGTATATGTACAACAGAATTGATACTAAACTCTAGTAGAACGAGCCTAAGAAGGAGCTAGAGCCAGGGAAGGGTAGATATGCATATAAGCCCAGCTATCGAGATAGGGGATATTTCTAAAGTTACACAATTTCTGCTTCATACTAAGACCAAACTTGCTAAAGGATTGTATTCTCAGAGCGAGCAGGTTTATTTGAAATACCATCAGTTATGATTTCAAGAGCGAACAAAGAATTGTTCAAAATGAGTCATAAGACCATGCTTATTAGGTCAGCAACAATACTATAAACCAGAAAGGCAGGTTTTCATTGGCTTCATAAAATGACAGCTAGAACCTTCAGAGAAGACCAAGTTTTCCTTTGGCAGAAATGAAATTGAACCATTAAAATATGGTACTGTGCTTTAAAAAAAGCTAAGATATTTTAAAACCCTAAAGCCAAACTCATTATTTAAGACTGAATATTTCTGAGCATTTATGTTATAAAAAATATAAATATGTGAAACCCAAGGCCTGGAGAATTAGCTATTTTCTAGAAACAACTTAATGCCTTTATAGAGCCAAGACAGTCAAATATTTATTAAGTGCCACTTAATAGGACCTTCATTAAAAAAAATAACTCAGTGCAAACTACAAAGTTGTTGGCTTAGCTGGTATGACATACCCCTCACCTTTCATATAACAGCAGGAACAGCAGAGTACCAAAATGCATCCCAGACATATACAAGCTACATACGATGTAGTTCATAATCCAGCGGTACTGCCTTATTCCTAGTGAATTCAAGGTAGCAGCAGTACAGGTGACCATCCACTTTGCAACATTAGGGGCACAAGGCCCCTGGAAAACTGGAAAAACCACAAATATCTTAAGACACATGCTTTATTTAACACGCTTGCTGGCTCTAGAACCCAGAGATTGTAAACCAAATCTTTCCCCTCTGTTGGTCTATTTCCCAGTCTTGCTATCTGATATTTTTAATAGGAACATACATGTGTTCATGGTCTTCCTCAGTCTCCTCAGGCTCACAGTCCTTTTATTTATTATTTATTATTTATTTGTGGTATTTGTATATCACCTTTCTCAACCCCAAAGGGGACGCAGGGCGGTTCACAGTGTCGGCAACTATTCAATGTCAACGATAAAAAACCATATAAAACATCAAAATTGACCCTCCCCTGTCAAAACATTGAACATTAGTAAACACATCATAAAAAATAACATCACATATCACACAATGACATAGCCGTTGTCCATAAACAGTCCTTTTGTAGGACAGCAGCAGAAGGAGCACTGAATAAGCAAATTCATGAATGTGAAATCCACAGAAGTGAAACACTGACTGTACTAATGACATAGTGATTGCACTACCCAATCTGGAGGTGAGCCTTGGGATTGTTAGGATTTATTTGCCTTTTCTGGTTGTATCAGGACAGAATTTATAGCAGATTGCACTTCGAAGCACACAGTTTAACCTATTACTTCCCATATCTTAAGGGGACCCTTAAGCGTCTGAGGGGGGAAAGGAAAGGGCCTGAGGCTGTTAGGAATTGTCAGAGTTGAAGTCCAAAACACCTGGAGGGGCCAAGCTTGCCCATGCCTGGCTTAGACTCAGTGCATACAACTAACAGTGTTTACTTAAATTTGTTGCTTAGTACCACCTTCATAGAATCATAGAATCATAGAATTGGAAGAGACCTCATGGGCCATCCAGTCCAACCCCCTGTCAAGAAGCAGAAAAATTGCCTTCAAAGCACACTGAGGACAACTGGGCATTGAAAGTAAAGCCAACCATTCTAACAAAATCGTATGTTTGTTATAAGAGGCTAGACATGAGAAATTTCAGTATTTAAATCTAGCATGTTGACCATATTCTGTTTGTGGATAGGCTGTTTGTTCTGTTCTTCTCATTAATGTCTATACATACTAATGTTTTAATAGGCCAACATACCAGCAACAGTATGTACCAACCTTATGAGGACTTACAGAAAACGTTTGACCTCTGTCATTGCCAATAAAGGATATATAACATAGTATTGAGATGAACTTTTGTTATTTACCAAATACTTATTTTCCACCACAATTTGCAAATAAATTTGTTAAAAATCAGACAATGTGATTTTCTGGATGTGTTTTCTCATGTTCTCTCTCACAGTTGAGGTCTACCTATGATGTCAATTACAGGCCTCTCTCATCTTTTTAAGTGCGAGAACTTGTACAATTGGTATCTGATTAAATGCTCCCCCCCACACACACACACGCACA